TCTGCTGCTGGCAGGACAGGGCAGGGCCTCAGCCTGGCCAAGGCGCCGCCTCGTCGTCTTGACTAGGCGGCTGACACCATTTGCAACCCTCCTGAAGACGAGGCCCCATGTAAACTCCTACCTGCTCCCCAGGGCCTCTGACTTACGATAGCGACTGGCTGCCTTCGCTTGGGTTCCCTCCTGGGAGGTAACTCTAATTCAGAACGCACCTATTGGTTTTCTTGTCACGTTGCCTCCTGACTGAGTGTGGGCTCTGGGAAAAGATGTACTTTTAAATGCTTGGCCAGCTTGAGCTAGCAAAACCCATTTGAACGACTATTAAACTTCATTGCATCAGCCAGTTTAACTCTCACAATTTGCTTACCCAGTAATGCTGCATTTAGCAGACACCTTGAGGTCCCTAACTCGGTTGAAAAATGCGCTTCTTTCTGTCCTACTGCATATTCTATCTAGGTAGACAAAATCCCATGAGTATTTTTTGCTGCTGTATGAGATTGCATGCTGTGGTTGTCCAGTATTGGATGTTAAACATTATAGGTTTTCACCTAATGCTGCAGGTTATTTTTCCAGTTTTAAGCCTACTCAGTCTTGTGCTGTTTCCTGAACTATGAAAGTAGTGAGTGGTTTTGTAATGATTAAGTTTATCACATTGAAACCAGTGTTGGGCAATGATGGAGGAAATACACATTTGTCATGCAGTCTCTCACACACATGCCACATTTTTACTTTTTAATATAGAACTTCAAGCAGCACATTTTTTCTTCTTCTTTCCTTCCATCTTGTCTGAATTTAGGTTATACTAATAGCTTCATACATGCTGCCAAAGAAAATAAGAATGGTCAGGTCCCTCTAGCCCACTATCCAGTTTTCTGACCATGGTCAATGCGAGATGCTGCAGAGGGAATGAACAGAACAGGCAATTTACAAATGATCCATCTGCATCAGGGAAGAAGTGAGTGTTTATTGTTTACATACTGCATTTTCTAATCTCCAAAGAAGAGAGACAGACATATGGAGCCTGATATACAGGAAAGAATTTCTGAGCTTTGCTCTTGCCTAAGCAATTTGGAGGATATAGATTTTCTCCCAGAAGCTGAAACTGTTTACCTTATGCTTAATACAGGGTGTACTGGATAGGCTGCTGATATCCCTGGGCAAGGTTCAGGAAGATGTGATGCAAGTATAGTGAATAATATGGAAACTCTGTGTCCTGTCACTGGTGTTTTCAGTGTGCCTCAGATTTTGGGCCAATGTAACTGGATAAAAGGGGTACATCTCAGCCATGGCCTTTTACCTAAAAACAAGGAGGCAGATGTCAGTGAAG